GAGACAGCAAGTTGTGTTGGTTGGCTCCTCGCTAGGCTCTGTCGGAGAGCTTTGGTGAATTTTGTGAGAATACATATACTGACAATTGGAGAAAGATAGATTGATGATGCTGTAGAATTATGACGGTTTCATGGAGGCCTTATCCGAAATGGTTGTTGGTGACTGCTATTCTAGTGTAGGATGCCACCTATGGAGTATTATGTATGTATCCAGAGTAACTTCAGGGGGGAGTGGTATCACTTTCGCCTTAGTTAGATTGGGACTTATTAAAATTGCGGGTTTGATCATAAGGAGCCCTCTGTATATCGTACATGTGTTTTCGATGCCGTTCGTTATATAAAGGCACATGGTTGCTCGTGGTGTGGTATTAGGAGGGGTACGGTGGTTCATCATTTCATGTGATTTGACCACCACCAGTTTGAAGTTTCGTTTTTCAATGGCCATAATGGTAACGCCTCAAGAAACTGCCCAAGAAAAACTCACTGAACTTGTTCTCTCTGGAAGTGAACGTGTTGCTGAAGCGGAGATCGCTAGTGAGATTGCTGAGGTGGACGAGTAAGTGAAATCTTGCAATCTTGCATTTCCTCAACGCTCTTCTCAGGAGCTCACAAGATCGTAGTCGGGAGGAAAAGACACCTCAGTCGGTTGAACGGCATAGACTCATTTCAGTGGCGAATCGATTACCTTGTAAGTAGAAATGACATATGGGGGAATTGAATCTGGGGTCTTAGGGTTGTTAGCAGGGTGGCATGACGCGTTGAGCTGTTGAGATGTTTTGTTTTGGGCAGGCACGATTCATAAGGACAAGGACACGGGGAAATGGGTTGCCAGTAAAAGCTCAGGAGGGTTGGTATCAGCACTCAGTGGTGTTAGCGGCATCGACATGAACTGGATAGGGTGGCCGGGCTGTGAGGTGCCCGATGAAGACAAGGAGGAAGTCGCTGAATTGGTAGGACTGGCCAATCCCGTAGGGTGAGAGAACCCAACAGAGATGATGGAGGGAATATAAAAGCGTTAATTAAGATTGATCGGACTCATTGTGATATGAAAAACATATTTCACGACTACTACTGCATAGCACCGCGTTGAATATCGCGAGTTTTTCACCGAGTTTTACGACGCCACTTCACGAAAAACGGGTAGTCGTGAAACTCCATTGTAGTGTGATCGAATGAGAGAATACATACAATGTTCTGGACAGTTAAATCTAGATTCAGATTCTTACATGATCCAATTCTTAGGTTGGAGAGCAAGGATGCTACCCGGTATTCCTCACTGATAGCGAAATCGAGTTGTACTATAACGGCTTTTGTAACAACACGTTGTGGCCTTTGTTCCACTACATTACTCCGTCCACTGAGCGTGAGTTGGGAAGTCTTGCGCAATTTAAGAAAAATCGGAATATATGTTCGTTTTTCACACTGATTTTAGGAGTTTATATGTAAATTCAGGTAGAAGAACGAATGATCATATTATCATCATCAACATATGTAGTTGACCATGTGCACATTTCCCCCCACACACTGTTGTAGAGATGTATTGATTATGGTATATCGTTTCGATGTTGCGGCGGTGACTGTCTGGTCCGGGAAATCATCCAGGAACCTATAATGTTCCCGGGGGGGGGAACTCATTTCGAATTTTCCACGTAAGGCTAGGAACAAATTCTTCAATCAGTTTCCCGAGTAAATGTCATCATCACATTAGGACCATTTTCACTATTATTATCAAACGCTGGGGGGTGGGGGGGGGTGTTATTTCTCAAAGCTCTGACTGCTGTTTCTATTCAGGTGTTATTGAGGGAAGAACATTAGAGTGGGAAACGTATCAACAAGCTAATGCTAAGTTCGTCGATGCTATCATGAAGGTAGGGGGGAAATGATATTTGCACGCATGCACATGAAAGATATTTTTCTCCTCTCTGTAGGTTTTGCATGATGACGATCTGGTGTGGGTCCACGACTACCACCTGATGTTGGTAGTGTTGGACTACCTCGTATAGGTCGGGACGAATCGCTCTCAGGTGCCCAAGCTTCTACGTGAGAGAGTTCCCAACGCGAATATCGGTTGGTTTCTGCACACGCCTTTCCCCTCGGCTGAGATATATCGGATGTTACCGTAGGATTACTGATTCTGGCTAGATGTCATCGAGTTGCATTTGTCAGGCAAAGAGAAGAAATCCTACAAGGGTTGCTATCAGCAAACTTGCTAGCTTTCCATGTAAGTATATTATACCTATAATGTTCCTGGGGGGAATCTCATCTTTGAAGTTTCCACGTATGGCTAGGAACACATTCTTCAATCAGTTTCCCATGTGAATGTCATCACATTAGGAGTCTTTTTTAACTGCTAGTGAGCTCTAAGTAATACGATTTCTCAAAGTTGAATGAAATCCCGTGTACATGGTCAACTCTATGTGTTGATGACGATGAAAAAATTTCGGGAAATATGTGTTGTATTTTATATATCTTTTCCCGAGTCGTGGGTAAGTTATTATGATTTCAGCTGAGAAAAGCAACCATTTATTCTAACATTGTCAGTGTCGCCGAAATTTTGGGATTTTTTTTTGTTTTTATACGCTTTTTTCCAAAGTCGCGTGTGAATTGTTCTGCTTCCAGCTGAGAAAATTTGAGCTAAAATTTCAATCTTTGGAGGAAATTTTAGTCCTGTTGGTTTTAGGTCGGAATATGATGTCGCTCGCGGACGACTAAATGGGCGGGCTTGTTTGCATCATTATCACGTGTTGGAGGAATTAAGAATGACGAAAGTTGGTCGAGTTATGGTATGCAGGTACACGACTATGTGAGGCACTTCCTGTCCTGCTGTGTGCAGTTGACTACTCTAGAGATCACACCGCAAGGAGTTGACGCAACACCTCTCAATGGCAACTTTGTAGGAGGACGACGACGTCGTCGGTTCGAATCCTGGTTGAGACATTTTTCTTGTATTTTTTATCAGGTTAAATGTGCTACAATACCAATTGGCATCGACCCAACTCCATTCACTTCAACAGCCGAGTCTGTCACTGTCGCAGCACGAGTGGCTAGTCTGAAGGAGCAATGGGGTGATCGGAAAGTCATCCTCGGTAAGCTACTACGTATGTGATGAACCTTTATGTGTGTTGCTACTTCGATCCCCCAATCTTGATGAATCTTTACAACTCTTTGCGACTCATGTTATCGCCTATGAGTAGCCACTAAGCGATAAATGTGAACCGTTGTTCAATTCGGATCGTTGAGAGTGTATTATACCTTTTCTTCGTCTGCGGATTGCTTGTTGCCTCTGAGCTGAGTTCATTTTTTTGGTGGTTCTTGAAGTGATATCGTCTGTCAGGTATTGATCGACTTGATTACATAAAGGGCATTCCACACAAACTTCGAGCCTTTGATATGTTCTTGGATGAGCACCCAGAGTGGGCATCTCAGTGTGTGTTGGTGAGCTACCATACCATCAATGTGTGAAATGAGGTGTACTACTACCAGGTGCAACTGGCAATTCCTACTAGAAGTGAAGTGCCGGAGTATCAGCGCCTGAAGCGGCAGGTTCACGAGATGGTCGGATCGATTTGTGGCAAGCACAGCAATCTTTATACTGGTCCTCCGGTGATCTATCTTGATGGATGCGTTGATCATGAGGAGTTGGTAAGTGTTGGTTTGGCCTAGCGGTTATGCTCAGTGGCTGACATACTGATGACCCTGGTTCGAATCTGTCTCATGCTATTTTCAGACTGCCCTTTACAGAGTTGCTGATGTTGCGCTGATCTCTTCCATCCGTGATGGTATGAATCTCGTTGCCTACGAGTTCGTAGCCTCACAACAACACAAGTAAGTCATTGTCAGCTCCTGAGCTCACGAGTTGCCGAAGGTGTGGTATGAATATCATCGCTCTTCAGAAACGGCGTCCTAGTGATCAGTGAGTTCGCTGGAGCTGCACAGTACCTAGGAGCTGGAAGTGTAAGCGAATCGGCTCTCTCGGTCGGTTGACGGTTTTTGTATCAGATTCGGATCAACCCATGGAACCTTGAGGAGGTGTCCTGGGCTATATACGAAGCACTTACGATGGGTGAGGACCGTCGTAAGGAAATGCATGATTACTGTTTCAAATACAGTAGGAAAATAATACCATCCTAGTCATAACAACGTTTGGTCGTCGTCAGTTCATAATCACAGCGCTCAACGTTGGGCCGAGACTTTCATCGCAACTCTCAAGAGTGCTTGTTCAGACCGGAAGGACGTTTCTGCTTCGGTGAGTTGCTGCAACTCAGTCTTCATTCGAGTCTTTGGTCATTCAGGTTTCCCCTCTTGTGCCTTTCAATAAGTTACGCACTTCTATTGAGTGTAGCACCAAACGATTATTGGTGAGTAAAAACTTCCCATTGGGAACGATTATGGGCTCAGGTGTTTGATTTGATGGACTGTCTTGTGCCCTCGAAAACGAGACGGGGAGTACCGGCAAAGTTGTATCAATCCCTGATGTCGGTGCCAAAGGATCTCATGGCAAGCCTTCAACGTTTGGCTAATGATGAGAGTAAGGTCTCGGGTTCGATCCCCGCACTTGTCATTTTTCACATAATTATTAGATACTATAATGGTCGTGACAACGAGCCACTCTAAGCAAATTGTGGAGAGACTTCTCGGACACCTACCGATATACCTTCTACCTGAGAACGGTTGCATCTATAGAAAGTGGGTCGGCTGAGCTGTTGATCTGTGATGATTCGGTTCGTCAGTCCGGAAGGTGTGTGGAAGTACGCTGATGCGCTAGCATGCGGTTGCATCACTGAAGATAACTCATTGGCTGAGGTGAGCGCTGATACCACTCCTTTTCAAAATCATAGAGAGTTTGGTGCTCCAGGTTGAATCGACTGTAGGCATCAGTTCTCCTCAATCACGGTCTGCTTGGTCGAGAGCCGACAGTAAGTTGTCGAGGTCCCCGGTTCGATCCCTGGCTGAGGCATTTTTATTCAGCGTCAGACGGTGGGTGGATGAACGGCGCTGAGGAAGTGCTACGATACTTTCAAGAGAGGACTCCTGGTAGCTACATCGACCGCACTGAGTGAGTACATTATCAGTTCTTTCCAGCAAGCGTGTTAGTTCTGTTTATCACAGGTTCAGTCTGAAGTGGTTCTTCGACAATACGCAAACCGACTTTGGAGCGCCTCAAACTCGAGACCTCATGATACAGCTCTGGGCTGGCCCTCTGGCTAATGCTGATGCAGAGATCGTCGTGGGAAACAGGTGAACACTAACAATACTGTTTATTCTAATAACGTATAATTCATTCGCCATTGTTAGTACTATTACCGCTGCTCGGGATGAGGAATATATTGTTATTGCTACTCCAGCTCCTACTAAGTCATATACCATAACTCGTTCGAATCGATTAGAATTAAATTATATACCTTAATACAACATTTTACAGTCAACGTCTGTTGCGAAGTGAAGCCGTCTCTTCCTCCGACGTTGTTATCATCATATATCCAATTCGTAGTAACTGTGTTGGGGAGTTCAACTGAGTTATGTGAATCGAGTCTACGTATTGCATTATGACGTGAATACACAGCATAGTGTGTGGCGCTTGTCGATCACTTTGATGATGTTTTAGGTATATCGAGATTCGTCCCAAAGATTCTTCAATTGCGTCCAATCTCGATAAGATACTACATTATGAGATACTCGAGGCTGACCCAGCTTCTGATTCTAAGGTAACCGCGATTTAGCGAATGTTTGGGAGTTCGAAAGCAAAAGCGCTCGCCCGTAGGTTGATACTTGCGTCGTTATCGGCGCATATCCTTTCCGTGATGAAGATGTCTATCAAGTAGTGGAAGATACACTCGTTCGACAATGGCTACCCAAATACACCCGGTAAGTTTCACCCCCCACGAAATTCTGGACAGTGTGGGATGCGGGTTGTAGACACCAACATGGTTGTCCAACACGGAGCGTCTCCTCATCGTCGAGGCAATCGAGTTCTGACTGCATTATGGACATCATGGGCTGTGACGCTCTCAGGGCTTTAGGAAATTCCCAACAGCTTAAGTGGGTTGATGGAGTTCTCACGTGAAGTGGCCTAAGACTCAAAAAAAACGATGTTCGCGGTGATATGCAGTAGTCGTGGAATGTGTTTTTCATCGCGGGTGAAGCTCCAGTGTAAGAAATTCCTACTAGAAACCCCTTCCGTGTGGATTGAACCTGGGTCCTTGCTATAGAAGAGTATGATTTCGTTGTTGTTCAGACCTATGCATGATGACGGTAAAGACTCCTTAGAATACGAAAGTAAGACGAGTTTGACCTTCCGTACTATGCTATGATACTATTCCAGGCGAGGCTACTGCTACGAATGACTACGCAGTAGTGGCTGAATCCCCGACGGCAAGGTACGATAATCCTCTCGTTGTTATTACAGTGTCATTATCCTCAGAGACTCTAGTCGCAAAATGCATCGTGAACAGCAGCTCGATTCGGGAGCTCTCACAGCTGTAAGTGCCTCGCGTTTCTATTCAAGTGTTTATATTTGAGTCTCTCAGGCCACGAGTGCATCAACTGTATCGTGTTTGGACGAATCGTCAACGACTGAGTCGATGAAAGAGACACTCCGACAACTACACGATGCCTGTTATTCGATAGCAGTGGGTCAGTGTAAGGTGTCTAAGGCCAAGTAAGTCACTGTTGTAACAGTCAACGTGGACAGTTGAAAAACGTTATTTCTGAAATTATAGCCTGAGGAAGAATACACCCGTTAGCTCCCTTTCTGTGCCACAGTGAGTTTGTATGTTATTAGATACTCCATCCCAAATACCTATTATGTGGCAAATCTAGTCCATGATATTGCGACGCATTTACCGCAGTCGCCACTAGCAGGTGTGACCACCAGCAACGACTCTGTTGTCGCTGTTGAACACCAGCATTCTATTACGACCCCTTGAGCGTATACCCTCATGAGAGCTCTGATTGACACTGTGTTGTATAAACTATATTACTATTGTTGTTGTTGGCTTGCTATGCTCGCTAGTGTTCTTCTACTTCTCATCATTACTTTCTCATCTCGATCATCATAAACTATGTTGAAAATTTTCAGCAATTTTCGAGATTTGTGTTCCCCAAGAGTCACTTGTTGATGAGAATTTTCAATGGCGTTGGTCATCATTGTCGACAATGTCGACTATGATGACTAACGACAATGTCCACTCGACATGAGCAATGAGAGTCCTTCTCACAGAAAAGATGTGATCGACTATTAACAGTGAAATCAACGTGAAGGCTTCTCTACCCGTCTTCATCGCACAAATCCTGTACAGGGTCTTCCCACAATTGGCCACATTCAGCTACTTCGAGGGGCGCATCTTGAAATTCTAGAAACACCTTCTGTCATCAAGTGGATTCAGCGAGTTCCTTTTGTTGGCCCTGTTTGAGGAATACTTCACCCAAACGTCAACGGAAAGGCTCAAATCGCTAGTAAAACTCAAAAGGATGATGTTGAGCTCTGCGTAGCAGAAGTGACGTTTAAACGAGCCAAGCGGCAAAGTATGGGCGACAAGCGACACAACTGAGCTGAATGAGCAACACAATAGTTGATTGGAGGCTCGGGCGGGGGAAGCACTGAAGCGCGAGCTCGCAGAGTTAGAGATTTAACTGAGGTCATTTGATTTGGCTAAATGGCATAGCAATCTGGTAGCATATGTTGGCCCGATTGGAAGGGAGACCTCACCTGATAGGATACCCACACTAGGTTTCTTACAAAGCTCCAGAAGGATCCTTATATGTATGTCCGCATGAGCGCGCTGCATTCGGCCTGACTCTCAAACAGTCGCAAGCAGGAGGGACTCTCTGCTGCTTTCTGTTTGCAGTACTCAAACTCAGAGTACTACAAGGAGAAAGTCGCTAGGATCTTGAACTGACAGATTCTGAATCTGTTGTAATCTGACATTTAAGATTCAGATGCGGGCGATATGAGAATCACGATACCGATGAACTTGATCAGTTATCAAGGTTTCTATGAGTGTAGCGTTGGGGAGTCTCAAGAATACACTACGAATAACACAGATACTACATCCCATACACGGACACACAGTGTGTGGGGCATTATGGCGATCGGTAGGGTTACAAAACAAAAGACTCACCACGTGACGCACGTAACCACGTGAGGCAGGCCTGTCGGAATCGTAGTTTTCGTGTTGGAAGTGTCCCACGATGTACATCACGCCGTAGCATACAAGCACTAAACAAGTGTTGTTCAGGTAGGCAAAATTGATCTCTTCAGTCACGAAATCGCGGGCGCTATTCACCAACTCGGAATCTGTATTTGAATCGCGTCGATATATTGACTTCCTTATTCATTGATACGATGCACTTTAGTAAACCCAAGCACTGAATCGGCGTCCTGAAGCGCTGTATGTGGATTCCTCATCTACGGACATGCCGATTCTATTCGCCGGATAGATTTCTGGATGGTATAGATGGAACACGACAGAGCGATCTGTGAAGGGCCTGTTAGCTTAAAGCCCTGTTTGTACAAGCATATCAATACCTATCCATGAACCTTGGCGAATACGGTGACCAGGGATGGCAATACTGGGGTGGCTGGAAAACTGACTTTTGCATCAGCTGATTTCGACCGACTAACTTGAGACGACTAACATTCTAACTGAGGGAATGAAAATTGATCGTCGTTTCATAGTGTTGTGCCGGAATATGAACGGTCGGAATCGTGCCAGAAACATCAATGGTGCTACATCTCAAGTAATCACCGTTACACAGCCCGAGCGAATTTCACTCAGTGGAATCCAACACCACCGCAGAAGGAAGCACATAGCCAGGCTATGATAGTCTCATTCAGAGGGTTTCTTAGAGGTTTGCTCGAAGTCAAATCTAGGAACATGGCCGCCAATATCGGCCTGCTTATCTATCATCATGTCAGAGATAATCTTATCAGTATCATCCACGTGAACATCACCGCTAACAATACCAAAGATGAGCAGGATATCCACAATGGGGAGTAACTTTGTGGGAGCTTAGGAGTGATGATAAAACACGGAAGTTTTGAACGCTTGAGAAATATTCACAAATTGCGCGCGCACAGAGAAATCTGTCATCACTTTACTGCTCAGAAATGAGCGTCATTCCCAATCAGAATTGGACTTTACGAAGTAGACAAGGTTAGTTGTCAGCCACGCAACGCACACAATCGCAGTGCGCGCAAGCGTTTCACATGATAAGAAAGCGCGGCAACGATAACGGATCGTATACCGTGTTTCAATGTGTACAAAATGACGAAACTTGACTCTCGCAGTCAGTGACGCATCGTCAACTTTCGGCCCACCCTCCTCTCCCGGGTTGGATCTCGTGGATTGCCCAAGCACATACGTTCTACGGGAAGCATTCATGCCTTGGGCAGTCTCTCGTGATCTGGCGTAACCAGTAAGAACCACAAATCCTGTGAATCGCAAAACTTATTCGAATTCCCACCGACGTACAGGTTTCGGGTTCGGAGTTTTTTGGGGCCACAGGATTATCGCTGTGCTGTTCCCGATCAATCCTGGATGGGAGACTTACCGTAGTTGAGGCTGTTAAACTAATGTCAGGAACCATCGAGGGCTGGGAGGACTCCTCTTCGAATTAGGATATTCCCACATCAAAACCGTGACCCTACACCGTTGCAACGTCATTGCCCAAGTAATGTGCCGGTGACTAATTCCTGTGTTGGCCACCGGTTCGAACGCGTGAATAACTCTGTCCGAAGTGATGCACTCCCATGTAAGATAAGTTATCTTAGATAACCTTACAAGGGTTCCCGCCAGAGTCTTCACGCGGGCCTTCGGCCCACCTTGCCTTTCCATCATCGATTAGACCTTCTAGGAGGTTGGACGGAGTCTTGGAAAGATTCATTCTACATTGTAATAAGGGTTAACTAGTTAACACAAGTTAAACACCGATACGGAGGGCGCGTCACCGTGTGACGGTCACACAGTGCGTCTCCGTCACACACGTGCATATCATCCGCGGTGTGTCCCCCACCCTTATCCAGGGTCCGTCGTGAAGCTACCCGCTTGAGCAAACATCGCCGCAGCTTTATAGGACCAGACGGCGTATGCCGTGTATGATTTCTCTCAACCCAGCCCGCCACTCTCGGGAGCAAGCATCTGTTGGTCGACCGTGCGAGGCGTCGCGTCGCCGGCACGCGCCCGCCGGAGCGCAACGTGCGCAGCGCCAGCAGAGGCGCTCGTCGGACTAACTCGATGCTTCGAGCGCTGAAAGTCATCGACACCTTCTGTCTTCCAGCCCACTAGACCCATGCGCTCAGGAGTGGGATATTTAACGCTGTATACACACCGTGGATCATAGCTGGGAGCGCTCTGGTGCACAATCGCCTCTCTGCACTTGCATGAGAACAACTATTAATCCTCAAGCATGCACGGGCCATAATTCGCACAAAGCAATTGCGGGGCAGCGAAACGAGCGGAGCATATTCAGCAACAACAGTAGGCACTTTCTTGTTGTACGTGCGTGTATGGTGGGTTATTTCGACTCAACTACCCGAGCTTCTAGAGGCTTCAGATGATCAAACGAGTCGTCTAATAGACGACTGCACACGTGATCGGAGCATAGACGTCGTCTATGCGGATT